ACCTGCATGGGTCAACAGAATATAGGTCAACAGAATTCAAGGGAGGTTGGACTTAGACTGCTTATGGCTCCTAGAGATTCTAAGTTGATCTCTCTTTTAACTCTGCCCCCAGTTCTGTCACTCCTTCCCCTACACATTCAGTGCCTCCACAACTTTGAAGGATCACTGAACAAATGATCAGTAAGCAAGGATTATCTGTAATATTGCCCTTTTAATAATCATACAGTTTGCTTTCTACTGTGAAACAGGTTGCTGTCTTCTAAAAGCAACAAAAGAGTGAACCCACTTCTAACTGGAGGTATTGGCAGAATGTCCTTGCTAGCATGTTGTGAGATAAACCAATTTTCTGACTTGGCACTGAGCTGTTGTTTGGACTTTATTGCCTAAATGACTGTAGTCCTATACAAGATGGCTGATCTATTCTTATTAAATCATAATAAACCATACACTTCATCGCTGTTAGGTCAAAAAGTAATGAAGGATTCTATTATCTCAGATTCCTGGCCTATACAGGTACATACATACATACAATTTCCAATTAAATACAACTTTCAAAGGATTAACAACAATTGGTTTGAAGCAAAATCGATATTCTGACTCTAAAACTAGGCTGTGGTTGCATTGCATATAAGTGCTTCATTTTTTTTCTTGGCAGAAATATATCGTCCAACACATCTTGGCTCTGCTACACTGTTTTCCTCCTTTTCCCCAAAAGCAGCGCTAGAAATTTTTGCTGATCTCCAGAGAGCAATGAAGAGTTTTGTTCTAGAGAATGATCTGCATAGTCTTTATTTGGTAGGAATGTGTATGTGTTTGTGTACTGTGTGTGTGTTTATGACAGTACTGGATTAGATTTAATGTATGTATCAAACATATTTTGTTTGGTAGTCAAGATGCAACATAGAGAAATAAAGTGAATTCTCCATTTTATTCACCATTCCAAAGAACAGGGGAGTATAAAGTAATCCTGAACCTTAAAGCACTGAGATACAGGTACAGAAGGACACAAAAACCAAATGTGGAAGCCATCTTACCAGGCAACATATAGGTGTTAAGGATTTATCGGAAGAATATATGTACTTGCACACTGGAGATTCCTCAGATTCACTTACACAACATGATTCCAGATCATGGTTCCTATTTGGCCTTGCATCAGTTACATGGATATTCTGCAAGGTTATTTGTCCTAGTGTGCAAATTTATTTAATTTCTATGCCTAGATTATCTTTTAATAATCAGAGCCTCCATCAAGTACATGGCTGCAGATACACTTCCCAGTAAACGCAGTGTTCACTCACTGTAAGTGGAGTACAAAAATCTTTCTTCCCCCTCCAACACATGTCCCAATATGCTAGCAGACCGATGAATTAAAAAGCAAAGGGCAATCTCATGTGAATATTATGTAATACCGTTCTAGAGCTAAATTAGGATTCATGTTAGTAAAACATAATTTCAGTCAGCATAAGATTTCTTTCTTTTTATTTCTTTTTATTCTGAAAAATGTTTAACATTTCTCCAAAGAAATTAAATCTTGTAATTTGAAAACTAACTCAAGTTTGGGTGGATTTTTTGCAGGTCACACCTGTTTATGAAGATTGGACCAAAATCGATTGGTACCAATTCTTTTGCTTGTGGGAGAAGTTGCCTGCCTCATTGAGAAGAGTAGCACAACTTGTGGGGATTGAAGAAAGTTTTTTAGCCTGTTCCGTCAAAGGCAACATCATTGCTAAAACAGAGAAACAATATAGGCAAATGGCTATCCACAAAAGGTAATAAGAATTTTTTATTTATTGATGTATATAGTATAACAGTGCCACAACATTTGCCTATTATTTCAAGCCATTTCTGCTTGTTTAGTAGGAAACAATTATTACTTATGAGTTATTTTTAGCACCTTTATAATCTCTTTTTCTCATGACATAGAAAAGTCACATAGGATATAGTTGTCTACCTTTTTTTCTTCCAGTTTTATCAATTTTTCTTCCTCTATCAAATATCTGTTTGTTTGCTTGCTTGCTTGCTTGCTTGCTTGCTTTGCTTTTTTCACAGAAAGAAATAATCACATCATTGTATCTTAATTAATTTTATTAATACAGATTTTTTACAAGCTTGGCTCTTCTGGATTTAATAAATGAAGTCCCTTTAAAGGATGTTGCTAAGAAATATAGCTGCAGTCGTGGACAGCTTCAGTCTTTGCAACAGTCTGCCGCTACATATGCAGGTAAGAAGTTACTGATAAAGTTGGTATGTAATGAACAGCAATTTAAGTGACAGACTGGTTTAATAAATCAATTTCCATTTTTCCAATTTAATTTACTGGTATTAAGTAGGTACTTTATGCAGGCACTTTCTCAACAAGCAAAACTGAAAAGATGACAAATTTCCATACTTACTGTTCTGACCCCCGTCCGTACGGTGAGTCACGCCAACACAACATTACTGCTAGACAATTTATTCACAGTAAATTAATACACTGACAAGACTTTGGCAGCAACCCAGACTTCCCAGATAAGACATACACACCAGAGCTTCTCCAGCTTTAATATAATAGTTGAATCCTGCAAACAGCCTCCTCCCAAAGTCTCCTCATATACTCTCTTGGGAGGAGCCTAATCACAACCACCTGGGTCCAATTTTCTCCTTTGTCTCCTTAATTGCTGCTGGCGCTTATCCGCCCGTCTCTGCCGGGTGTCTGGGACCAATTCCCTCTGAATCTCATC